TTTTGAAATAAAACACTTGAAAAATAACTTTCACTAAATATATTTATATTGAATCTTGACAAATTCGTTTCATAATTTTTTTTTCAAGTGTTTTATTTCAAAAGAAAAATAATCAACAAGTACAGGTTTGGTAGTTATCTGCATCTAATTTTAATTAATGCAATTCAGATTGTATAAATTTCAGTAAATCTCCAAGTTAACTAAACAGCAACTTTAAGATTTAGCATATAAGAATTAAAGAATTGTTGTTAATTACCATTCCTGAATTGTGTCCAAGTTACTGTTAAAAACGGACCCATTTCCTGCCAATTGTTGGTCCCTTTTCCAACGTATTAATTCTTCATCTAGAACTTGAGCCTGAAGGGTGTTGATTAATGTAAAAGTTTCTTGTAATTTGTCTCCTAAAGCCAATCTTAACTGCATCAGTCCTGCGATCTTAAAAAAGGAAGTAGTTTTTAAGAAGATTTGTCTCAAATCTCAAACTTGTCACATACCTTTTGATTTAATAACTGTTCCATAATTTCCTTCTGTCTCGTAAGTTTCTGAAGATTTGCTTGCGCTTCCTGTTGATTTGCGGGTTGTGTCGATAAATGTTGAATTGTTGCTAGAAATAAATGTTTTAATAGATTAAGCTTTAACAAATACTAATTTACCCTTATATAGAAAAAATGATTACCGTCTTTTAAGCGCAAATGAATAATTAAAAATAAGGGATCAAATAAATAAATAAATAAAATACTGTCGCAGTTAAATTTGAATTAAAAAAATAAAATTAAAATAAAAATGCAACGAAAATTTCAAAATAACTTATTCTATTGGAAGCAGGGGATCCAAGAATAAAATCATTTGAAATTATAAGACGAGAACAACCAAAAAGTAGCTAAAATAGAGCAAAATAGCTTTGGCACAGTTATTTGTCCTTAACGTGAACAAAACGATAACGTGAATAATTGTTGTTTTCTCGGCACCCTATTGAGTGTCCATTACATTAAAAATAATATGTTTTATTAAGTACCTATGCATCGTCGATAGTTTGAATAAGAATAATTACCGTTTATTTTCGTGCACTCGTGATACTGTAACGCAAACGCTTCCTGCTCTTGTTCCATTCTTCGCAAATCTTCGGCCTGCTCCTAAAGAAATAAAAAATAATGAAATTATTAATTTAATTAGGAGTACACTGTCTGCTATCGTAAAATTAGAAATAATAAACATTGTAATTATAAATGCTCGTATGTGTACAATTGCAACATTATCTTTATTTTTAGCTTTGAATCTAAACTGTGAAATGACAGGATCCAGTATCTATCAATGTAAAACAACTCTATGTAAACAAATTCAATGCAAAATATGCAATAAATATACTCAGCTACGCCATTAGGTGGGTTTTGCCTAAATTTAACTGATTTTTCTGTCAGCCAGTAAACGTATAAATGACAATTTGATTATAAATTTTATTATTTTGAAACTAAAAACACGATATTAAAAAAACATTATAGTATAGTAAACCATTACAGTACTTAATTATAAGAAAACAGTAAACTACAGTTAATTTACTTACCTTGGAAAGGTGTATAATACTTGTTGAAAGCAATATCCTTTGGAATATCTGGATAAAGATTANTTAGGAGTTTTTTATATTTCAACTTATGAAGGAGTTCGTCATGTACTATCTAGGAAAGAAGTTAACTCAAAGTTTAAAGCATTGGTTGCTGGAGGATTTGCATCACTGGTTTCACAAACAATCATTGTACCTTTTGATGTTATAAGCCAACATTTGATGATGCTTGGATGTCCTAAAAGTGACTATCAGGTAAATTCAATGATATATTAAAAATAAAATACTGTAATTAATTAACAGGAAATGCTTTGCAGCATTTTCTGCATGTAAGTGATGATGTTGCAAGGAAAGGAAAGTTCGCTGTTACAACTGAAATTGCTAGGCAAATATTTCAAGCTGATGGTATAGCAGGTTTTTATCGAGGCTATGGAGCAAGTTTGGCTGCTTATGTTCCGAACTCTGCATTGTGGTGGGCATTTTATCACTTTTACCAAGGTAATATCATATCTAATCCAGATAACTTTATTAATTCAGCATTGTTTAGATGAATTGTATGCGATTTTACCATCATGGTTCTCTCAATTATTGATCCAAACTGTGGCAGGAACTCTGGGGGGATTTACAACAACTATTCTTACAAATCCACTAGACATTGTTAGAGCAAGGCTTCAAGTACAAAGGTTGAACTCGATGAGTAGAGCATTTAGGGATTTATGGCGAGAAGAACGTTTACAAATGTTCACAAAAGGTCTCAGTGCTCGTCTTGTTCAATCAGCTACATTCAGTTTTAGTATAATTTTGGGTTATGAAACAATTAAAAGAATTTCTGTTAATGATGAATATAAGGAACTTGTTCGATGGTGATATTTAGTTGATTTTTTTTGTTTCAAATTGTTCATGTAAATATTTAAATACTTTATTGTTGTTATTATATATCTTAGTCCTACATTTCTTCGTAGCGAAGGAAGTAGTTTGTAAAGACGTGATTGTATAAATCTAAAAAGCAATTAAGTAGGAAATGAATTAATAATACACTTTCAAAATCGTTGTTGATGTTTTTGAAAATGGAAATATCAGATTTTCTATTTGAATAACGCAACAAATTAGTCGCCTGTTTGCCTATTGTTTCATTATTAACATTAAATTCATATAAAAATAAAAATCTATTTTTTAATTGTCTTTAATTGGTTCACTTGATGGTGTTCAAGCTTCTGAAATATTGACATACATAAAATCTTTTACATTAAAAACCTCGAGGACATTTTCAATGAAACATGAAATTTTTTTGAAATAACAGCAAATGCATGTTTTATGGCTATTGTAATCAGTTTCTTTCATTTCATGTTACTTTGCAAAATAATTAAAAATTCATATATCTGCAACATCCTTCATTAAATACATAACTTATCGGTTTTGGAAAATTTTCAAACATGCTAGACCTTCAGTGATAATGTTATCTTAAAAAAATGCAGTGGCCTGATAAAGTGCATTACTATTTTATAACAGTATTAAACATCAAAATTAATTTTCAAAAAGATAGTTTTTACTATACCTTATAACTACATCGACATAAAATGCAGCACAATGATGATAAAAAATTAAAATAAGTTCACATCGTATTTAAATCAAACCGTTATTACTGTTGATAAACTTACTTGGACGAGGTCAATTGACTTTTAATTTTTTAATGAACAGAACATTCAATTCATTTACTAAGTACATATTTTTAATAAGTTACATATTTTCAAATTTAAAAAATGAAATAAATATTAATAACAAAAAATCATTTTATGCAAGCAATTTTTTGTTCCATAAAACCACTTTAATTTCTTCACTAATTTCTCTTCTACTATTGCAAATTTTTGAAATTCCAGATTTGGTTTATTAGTTTATTAAATTACACTAAAGGGCGACGATCAATAAATCTCAATTCAGTCATGATATAAAGGACATATTTATACATTTTCTGTTAGTAGATTATCTGCCTAATAACAAAATTTTGTATATATACTTGTTATTTGTTTCAAAGATCTAGTAATTATTGTTTATGTGTATTGAGGCTAATACCTGCGGCTTTAACTACTTTCCGTATAACTACTTGTCCACATCTCTATTATGCTAAATGAAAAATAAGTCTTGCTAAAATATTGTAAGATGTTTTGGTCAATAAATTATAATTATGATTATTGTTATAGCGAGATAAATTAGGTTGATACATGATTTTACTGAAAATTATCTTACATTTCGTATTTCACATAGAGCACAAGTCAGAAGCAACTTATTTTTTATGTATGTTCTACACTGAAGGGAACTTTACTTAAAAAAAAGATAAGTTGCTTCTTATATAGTATCTGATTTACATAAAACAGGACTAAATATTTGTATTTATAGATAGTCACATCAACCTAATTTAACGTACTATAAAGAAAATTAATACATCATTTTTTCTTTCTTACAATTCTACTTTATCAGGCAAGCAGTCTATTAACAGAAAATGTATAGAGTACATATTCTTCCAATATAATTTTTCTTCATTTTGGGGCGGAAATTCGACTTCATTAGTCTTCATCCGTTTTATCGGAAATAATATGTTGTAGCTTAGAGCAATCAAGTAAATCTATCATAATTTAATTTAAAGAAAGAAAAATCTAAGTAATAAACAATATTGATCTTATTTTTCCAACTTTATTTGACCAATAAACAATAATATGAAACATATATAGTGTAAAAGAAAAAGCACAACTTGTTAAAACAAAAAATATTGTACTTAAAATTGCAATACACAATGTACAGCCATTTCAATGTTGCTTAACAGGTAGCACCTAAACTGACAATAAAACTTGCACATAATAATCATTAATTTTTATATACACTACAATTTGTAACAGTGTTTTAAGGCCCTAATTGACGGAGAAGTGCTCAGAATTTCATTGTCTGTGTAACGAGTGAGCAAAATATTATGGCACTATATTAGTTAATAGTAAATATTAATTATATTCTAGGTTTATAACTGACTGATTTGACATTTCAAAATTCCATACTCTACGTAAACAGTCACCTTAATAAAAATTTTCTTTAAAGATATCACAATCCACATTTTATATAAAATATTCATTGGTACACAACAGGCACATGAATCCCAAAAACAATTACATTTACATAAAATAGCACTTGATAACTCAAGTTTCAAAATTACAGTTCATCAAGTCATTTACTCATACAAGAATTATGTTTAAAACTCAACATTTTGAACTTTCATTTATTCCTTACCATTATTTCATATAATTTCACTTTATTACATAAATGTTTTATTTATTTTCCTTAGAAAGTTTATGGCATGCTTTACGTTATTTAAATAAAATGATTCTAAAAAAAGTTTGGTTAAGTACAAAGCCAAAATTTGAGAACATAATTTTTTTTAAATGTAATAAAATTAGTTTTTATTTATTTTATTTTATTAAACAACCATTTTATAGACATTTTTTTAAAACGCATGCGAAGTGCTTCCACCTATTTGAAACATGCAATTATCAAGTACTTAATTAATTTAATGAATGTATAATTAAGAAACATTAAAAACCTTCACTTAAAAGTAAAAAAAAAGTAGTTGATACTTCTAGCATCACATAAGAGTAGAATTAGATGATATTGCACAAAAACAGACTAATTCCTCCTATTGTGTAAAAATTAATTTTTCAAAAATAGAAGTATGTATATACTTGCTCTATGTTTTGTAAAAGAATATGTAGCTGTTTTTACAGGCTATATTTTTTCAGTGAATTAATCATTTAACAGGAATTAAAACTAACATGCCGGACTTAATTTAATGACATGCAAATAGTTAACAACCTAAGACATTAATTTTTTTTAAGCTTATAAACAAAAATTACAACACTGTAGGTCTTATTTTGAGCCGAAATGCAATTAATAACAGAGATCATGATATTCAATAAATGTAACGTAGCATTACAAAAGTAATATGTAGTCAAAATTGCCTTACTATTTAACTTAAAACTGTACATAAATAAACAGCAAATGCGATAAAAGTTCAATTTCTATGCACTTGCATCTAAACTAATTTTTGTAAAATAAACCATGACAAAAATTACTTGATATGTTATAAAATTTACTAAATATTAACAATTACTAAAATTTTTTTATTAGCTTTTTCGATTGTCAAAAATGCAAATACATGTATCGTAATTCGATTTTTTTGGACGCAATGAAATAAATTATAATACAGTAATCTATAGCTATCTGGCTATTTCAATGTTCTTTTTATAGATTATGTTTTCTGAAATCAATTAATTCATTTGTGGTAAATTTGTAAGCGAGTCAATATAAAAAAGTAATAGCTGATTTCACAGAAATACTACGATATTTTTCCATCTGATTACTCTCACTTAATTGTTGCTTTCATTTAAAGCACCATGGTTTTTACATTGACTTCTTTATCAACAATTTTAATAGACTTAAGATTTATATTTAAAACAATAATTAAACAACTAAATAGCTTAACACATAATTTTGTTTTAAAAAAGAAAATGTTATGATTGTTTTTGACCTTACTAAACGTTTAACATGCAATCTCGTTTCTTACTAAAAATTACTATGTACTTACAAATCACATAATTTCTCCACAACTGCACATCAAGAGAAGAAACGTTCAGCTCACATCGCCTTCAAGAGACCTACAGTAACATTTCCAAAATCTTTACATAAAACCAAAATAAAAAAAAAATACCAGACATATCGCGTGCATGTAGTGTGCGTGCATCACGTGCTGACAAATAGTTACACAATTCGACAACCAAGTGTTCGCTGAGTGTAAACTCGGGTGAGAAATACTTGGTAACGACATTGACAGCCAAACAACAGTGCCAAGGCCGAATCCACTCCCCAAAATATGAACAATTATTGTCTGTAGTCTTGCATGAGTTCGCTCAGATTGACGAGGCCGTTTATATCGATGTTGCATTCGTCTAATTGGTCCAAGTAGTCAACTCCTTGTCCAGTGCCGGCCGCGGGCGTCGCCACTGATCCGGTGTAACTGCACAGACATAACCAGACATCAGATACTGCAACACAGACAAGCCAACATGACTTAAAAAATTAATAAAAACAGAAAAACGGAAGAAGGGACCCAACGAGACACTACAAAGTCAGGAAAAATGATACGTTTATGTAAGCGTAAGAATGAAAAACAAAAAGCAAATAAACTAAACAAGCAATAAACATAAAAGGTTGCAATATGTCTGGTCATGTCTGTTTTGCAGCAGTTTCTATCATTTGATAGAAAATAAACTAACAAATTTTTAATAATGATTGAATACACTATGTCGTTGAATATTGAAAAACAAAACGACTAATAGAAATCAGTATTTTTCTTAATCACATGTAAAGCACCATGTTAAAAAAAATGATTTAAGCAATACTTAATATAGATTGTTTCTTATGATGTACAGCCATTTCAATGTTGCTTAACAGGTAGCACCTAAACTGACAATAAAACTTGCACATAATAATCATTAATTTTTATATACACTACAATTTGTAACAGTGTTTTAAGGCCCTAATTGACGGAGAAGTGCTCAGAATTTCATTGTCTGTGTAACGAGTGAGCAAAATATTATGGCACTATATTAGTTAATAGTAAATATTAATTATATTCTAGGTTTATAACTGACTGATTTGACATTTCAAAATTCCATACTCTACGTAAACAGTCACCTTAATAAAAATTTTCTTTAAAGATATCACAATCCACATTTTATATAAAATATTCATTGGTACACAACAGGCACATGAATCCCAAAAACAATTACATTTACATAAAATAGCACTTGATAACTCAAGTTTCAAAATTACAGTTCATCAAGTCATTTACTCATACAAGAATTATGTTTAAAACTCAACATTTTGAACTTTCATTTATTCCTTACCATTATTTCATATAATTTCACTTTATTACATAAATGTTTTATTTATTTTCCTTAGAAAGTTTATGGCATGCTTTACGTTATTTAAATAAAATGATTCTAAAAAAAGTTTGTTTAAGTACAAAGCCAAAATTTGAGAACATAATTTTTTNATGTAGAATATCACTAATTTTATATAAAGCACTGAATAGAAAAACATTACAAAAGTATAACATTGTTATTAGGAAGTGGACAAATCTATAAACAAATCATTGTTTAAAGTAGTACGAATTGGTCCAATCAATAACTAGTCAATCATTTATAACTGCCCAAAAAATTTATCCAAAAATATAACAATATTCTCGTTTCTAAATGCATTTTATAGTCGTATCTCTGTGTTCGTTTTTACTTAAGTTTAATTTTACTTTTTTATTTAAAAACAAAACGGAGCACGTGGAAAGTTCATATTAGCAGACGTTAGCGCCGTAATTTCCATACCTACGTCATAAACTGACTTATTTACATTGTCGATGAAAAAATTGTGCATCTTGTTTACCGAACCTACAGAAAAAAACATGCCTTACCTGCTGGCAACGGATGGAGTATCTCTGCCTGGATCGGGTGACTGTAAGAACGAATGTTGGGGTGTGTTCGGGTAACTTACGGACGCCGGACCGTTCCAACCCGGTATTTGTGTTACTAACAGTGGCCTCACATAACCGTTGCTTGTAGTTGGTTGACTATCTACTTAAACAAATTTGTTAATCAATACATGTACAAAGATAAACACAAAATAAAAAACCTGCAGGTAATACATTAATTCATTTAATTGTTTCGAACAAATTGGTCATTTTCAAGAACACAAAAAATATAACTAAAATCAAATTAAAGTAAGGACTTTTATACTTAAGCTAAGGGGTGGGGCATACACATAAAAAAAACTCAATTATATGTATATAAGTAAAAGTGTTACTGAAAGTAAAAGTTTCTTTATCATTATTAACAGGATTTTAACTGCTGGAAGAGTTTTTAAGAGTTTGGTAGTACTGTAAATTTTTTGTTGTTTAAGGGTGCACCTACATATGTAGTAATTTTAGGATATTTTCATGTTCGTTAACATTTGTAATGCAGTGTTCTACTATACAGGCCTGTCGAACATTTTGAGTTTTTCAGACTACCTACATGCTCTTTTAAACATACATTTAATTTGAGAACAATTTATTTAACAAACATCACTCTTTTTGTGTTTGACTAATTTTAGTTTATTGCTTACTAGCAAGAGTACCTTTATAAGTTATTTTTGTTTATTTCAATAGCATGATGATAAGTTTTTAGTTTTATTATTACATTTTACCAGTCCAAAAGAATTAAAAATTAAAAGGAATACTCACCCCTAATTTCCACAAATAATTTTATATGAGCGGACACGTGTTTCGCCCACTACATACGTGGGCATTATCAACGCGAGACTGATAAAATTATTTGTGGTAATTAGGGGTGAGTATTCCTTTTAATTTTTAATTAATATTTACCACAGTCTCTTCTTTCTATTTAGTCCAAAAGAAATTTTACTTATTCTACAACATATCATCAAACGGTATTTTACCACACAAAAGAAATTCCATGTTAAGTTACCGTAAATAAAAATTTGTTTGCAGATGTTGCTTTTGAAATATTAATTATTAAACATTTTCGACAACTTATTTTACTGTTTATTTTAAAATACTATAATAAAAAATGAATATTTTGAATTTATAAGGTACATTTGAACTCTATTTTGACATTAATATACGACCCGCAATTTGAACTGTAGGAGGTACCATGCAAAATTGTTTCTAATAAATATGAAACTAAAAACACGATATTAAAAAAACATTATAGTATAGTAAACCATTACAGTACTTAATTATAAGAAAACAGTAAACTACAGTTAATTTACTTACCTTGGAAAGGTGTATAATACTTGTTGAAAGCAATATCCTTTGGAATATCTGGATAAAGATTAACAAGATGATTTAAATCGGAAATACGATCGGCAAGAGATCGAATTCCAAAGTCTTTGGATGTGAATGGTTGGAGCATAAACACTTCTTGATTTTCTATAAAACCAAACAATATTATTAAGTCGTTATACATAAACGCAGCTAATAAATACATATTATTCATCCAAGGAAAAAGCAGCGGTGTTTGGTAGAGCAAAGCACTATATTTTTTTAATGGTATGTTTATCAAATTATACTCTACAGTCGTATGTCGTTTATAGTTCACTACGCTCTTCTATGTCTGTCTTTATTTTTATTAGTCGATGTAAGAAACGATAGTGTACATGAAGTTGGCTGATAGATCATTAATTCGTGGGATAGATAATATGTAAACAAACTCAATACACCTACCTGAAACCCAAGCTATTGTAATTCCACCTAATTCGCTGTCAGAAAACCTTAACAAGAAAGTTCCATTTGGACAATTTTGAAGCATTTCTTCTGCTTGCTTTTTGCGAATAAATCCCAGTATGGCACTGTAAAAAAATGAATAAAATAAAAACTGTATCAACCTAGCAGTACATTGTGCAATATTATCAGTAAAATGCCTTGTTTTCAATTCGTTTCAAATAAACGTTAAACAATAAAAAAATGTATTACTTATCCATCCAAGGTCCCCTAAGGTGTTCCCTAGTCAACTTCATAACTGCATAAAACCATTCCCAAAAGGTAAAATTTCGTTCATTCAGTGGTTCTTTACAAAACTGTGCCCAACTTAGAAGTTGATTATTATCTGTAAAATTTCCCCTGAAAGCCTTCTGTGCAAGAAAACAAAGATTTTCGTCTGTCAACGGTCGGCCCGTTGCTGCTCTGAACTTAAGGGATAGGGTTTCTGCTACTTTGTTCCACGGAACCTATGTCAAAGAGAAAATATGTAATAAAGTAAGCTTTTTAAATCATTTTAAGAAGTTCAGTTTTAGAACTTTTTTTTACTCCCAGGCATTACATTATTCACATTTTTATTTTTTTTTTATTACCTTAAATGTTCAAGTTTCATTTTCACATTTATTGATTACGGAGCGCGTATTACAGAGGATCCTTGAAAATTGGTTAGTGAGTATATACAAAAAGAAACCCTAGCACAGTACTAACTGCTATTGTTAAGTGATTTGTAGATTAACAAAGCAACTGACTGATTGATAGCAGGCGCTTCACCATTTTTTCTCATGCATCACGAGCTAAACCAAATAGTTTGAGATAAGACTGAACTATTTAGGGCAGTGGTTTCCAACCTGTGGGGCGCGCCTCCCTGGGGGGACGCGAGACTGTTGCAAGGGGGGCATGCAGCTGTTTCCAAAATATCATTTTCGAATACAAACCAAAAGAGTCGAATANAACTGATAAAAATAATTTGAACGTTTAATAAATGATTAATTTATATACTTATGTATCTTTATAAAATAAATAATTATGCTTTTTTTCACCATTTTAGATGATATTGTATATTATTTTGTAGCCCATTACATAAATTATAATATCAGTTGAGTATTTATGAAATTAGATTGTTAGAAAAATTAAGGGGGCGCAACAACTTTTTTTTAAGGGGGGCGCAGGTACGAAAAGGTTGGAAACCACTGATTTAGGGGTTGCAAGGCAGTTGTAGTTGCATATGAATGTGGGGTCTTTTTAGTTGACTGCTATACACCTCTTACATTAATTTCATTTGCGCATATGCGTATGACATACGATATTTATTCATTTGAAGTAACTTTTGATACAATAATACATTGGGTATCAATTTATATTTCTTAAGCAAGCTTATGATCCTATTTTATTTCGCAGTTTAAAAATGGCAGCTTTGTCTTATCTCTGATAGAATCGGCACTTACCTTGTCAGGAACAGTAAAAGGTACCCGACCAGGTTCTGAAAACGCATTGTCCCAGGTAACGGTAGCCCATGCATGCGGTTCCTGATTGCCATGTACGATGACGACCACAGGTAAAGAGAGCGTCCAGACATGGAAGACAAGTTCGCCACCTCCGACACTAAACTGTGACTGGAAATGTAGTGAAAATTTCTCGTCCATCACACTTTCTGTTCCTTTCTTTTCGGCTCTTTTGATTTTCTTCAACTGCATATTTCTAAAGCTAACGGACAACTGCCGTGTTGCCTGTTGATACTCCATTGTACCTGTATTATTTAATATTTCTCCACTGGCATCTCCATTTTTTCCCAGTTTGTCATTCTTCAAGAGAATGTTGGCTTGAGCTTCAGAAATAATTGTGACTTTTACCTGTGGAGGTGTCATATGTACGTTTAATTTACCGCCGACAAGTAAACGTACTGTTGCTGTAAATCTAAAAACAATTAAAAAATTAATAAATTATTAATAGTAATAAAAAACAACATTAAAAAGTATGTTACGAAAGCCACTGCAACTATATGTTCAGATTATGTTAAAATAATGCAAAAAATTAAACACATTCAAAATAAAAATGTCAGAATATTCAATTCATTTACTAAGTACA